TTTGTTTTGACTTAAGATAATTATTTAAGAGATATGCATGAATTCAACAGAAATCTCGAACAATACTTATACCTTGTCTTCGTGGTGGCAGTAACGGATCCGTAAAATATTTTCTTTAGAAATACAAGCATTTACTAAAGGAATCCGAATCTCCTACGACCGTACGATGAATTCTTCAATTGTGATGCAGTGTATACACTGATAATATTGAAGTTAATCCCAACAATAGTAACTACACAGAAGCTATCATATCCATGATACGTAAACTACCACAAAACTCAAAGACGTATCCTTACTTGCTAAATCATAAAAAGATGATTTAGCAAGTAATGTTTTGCTCAAAAAAATGATTCCGAAGAAGTATTTGCTTCACAACATCTGCTACGGACTTTCGCTATCTAGCTTATTCACTGACGGTAACATCAGTGACTGTAATAACACACAGATGTACATAGCACACAGATTTAACTTATTTTTGACACACAAGGAACCGCGCAAATGATTTCTGAGCAAATTTTAGCATTTCGGTGTAGTATCAGGAATGAGACTTTGCAACGTAGACATTGTCTCCAAAAAAATATCGTTCCTAACATATAGACGTATTTTTACCTATCAGTATAGCACGCTTGGCAGCTTGGAACTGCACAATAGCGATAGCATGTGAAAGTCCCACGAAGCAACTATGATGTAGTATTATCGAAATCCTAAAAGAGAACAAAAAAGCCTGTTACCTTTCATTGTACCGTTTTAGCTTGTTTGCATTTAGCTTTGTTCTGAGCTCCGTATACGATCGCCCATGCTTACTAAAAAGTATACGTATACACAACCGATCCTTCACATAAGGTCCCACAATCTAAACTGCGTGAAGTGGAAAACCACGGAAATAGCATAGTAGATTTGAATTATAGTAGCCGGTGGACAAAATATCGTACTGAAGACCCCATATTTGGGGAAGTTCTCTTCTGCGTTAAGGTGTACGTTACAACAAATTAAGCCAAAGGCTCACAGACGAGTGAGGTATAACCCAGTTTCACTCAGTGGCCAACTTTTGTGTTTGAACAGCCTGGGTGCCACTTGTTTAGATATGTCACCTAAGTTAGATATCGATTCATGGTTGGGGGGGGTCTGCCGAGTTGTACCAGCTCCCTCAGTTCCAACTGTACTATGCGCGAGTACCGATTTTCCTTCCGTAAGCGGTACAATTTTGCTAAAAGTTCTTACTCAACCAGAACGAATTTCAGCATGATAAAGGACAATTATTAAACGTTTAAATCTGGATAAAACGACAGATTTGGAAACAGGGCAAGCCCACGCTTTTGAAACGAAATCGAGCTAATGCGTGATACGTCGCCGGTCAAAAAACACGTGCCTCGGATGTATTGTTCTTGACGTTCCGCGGAACAACTCACGCGTCAGTACTTCAAAGAATTCCGAAAACAGTCTTAGAATGTACGTACGCATCTATTCATTTCTCGAGTCAATTGATCCTGAGTTAATTTAAATATAAAGGTGGTTCGATGCAGTTCGAACAGACTGATAAGCGGCTATATTAAATATCAGGAAATAAGGTCGTAGCAGAAGTGCATATTTTATTTCACCGGACAAGAATTACCCGCACCCACACAAGTTGTTAAACTAGACCTTTGCATAATATGGATTTGGGGTTGTCACAAGAAAAACTATTTTGTAAAAATCAGAAGTAAATGATTACAATAGTTGTCGCTAGACCAATAGCCAAATGTGAATATAAACAAGTTCTTGATTGGGGCAAAGCGCATCTATTTACCGGCGACCTTGTCGTAGTTGAAACTGGCAAGAGGAGGGCACGTAACTACAACTGGTAAAGTGTTTTTTTTGCTGCTCTGGTTACCGAACGGACAACCATAGAGTAAACACGCCTAATACATTCTTAAAATTGACCCTTAACGCCTTGCGATAAGCAGTCTACTAAATGCTCATATAGACAGCTAATAATCCCTACTAAAAAAAAAGCTTCATTTCCTGTGCGTGTAGTCCGTGGGAAATGTCTTTTACTCTAAATATAATAGGGGTCATTGTCAAGGCTAAAAGGACGGGAGCTCTTCTAAATCACTGAAATTTACGTTGGCAAAACTTTCAGGAGCAGACGAAGTTCAGGCAAAAGCTAATGGTGCAAACTGCATAAGCATTGCAGACAAGAAGCAGCGGTTATGACCTAGTATATATGACTATACCTATTAGATTTAACAAGAACAAATATTCTATTCCACGAAAAATAGTACTTAAATATAATAAACCGTACAACTACTAATGTAAAGGCATGCTTATCTTTCTGCTGAAAAAGACAATTTTCAGAGATATAAGACAATGCAACATTCAAATCCCTTGCAAACACAGTATAATGGCATAAAATAGAGGTTTTAGGATGTCGTAATTCCGCACCGATGCACTTCTCGTATCTATAGTTAAGCTCGATGACACAGTTTCGATAGAATCCTATCTGAAGCTTTTTGTTGACGTACGTTTCTCAAATCCTAACAAATTGCATTGTGTACAAACCTACCAAAAAGGAACAACTAATAATAAATGCAGTTATAGTAGAACATAACAAGAACGAGGATGATACCGTTAGATTTTCAGCGGATTTCTCTGGGATCATACGATAAGTGCTAGGACTAAAGCGACGTATTTAGCTGAAGCACCCTGATCATCCAGCATATAGTTATAATAAATCTGATCCGTTAACGACGCTCTTACTATAATAAATCATGTTATTTTTCACCAAATTAGAATATTACTCCGTTCATGAATTTGTATCAACTCTCTTAGACTGGATGCTAAGGATTAGGTGATTTCCAGCTTAAGTTTAGATAAATCAACAAGTTATTGTAGGTTAGCTGTGTAACAAATACGAAGCCAAATATAACTTGAAAATTAAATTTCCAGCTACATGTATTTCAATACGATCTCAGGTGGTATATTTAAAAATGATAACATCATCAATTTCATTTTCAACGTTTATTACCTAAACATCGATGAAGTGTCATGCACCTCCAAATATACCGGGGAATGCAAATAGTTATACGCTTGTCGGATGGATACGAAGATTTCGTTGCTTTACAATTAATAATTATCCGAAACGTTAACTGTTAACATTTCGGATACCCTATTGTCGTTGTTTATCTTTATTTCAGGGTTCGATTACTTCTAGCGCGTCGCCTCTTACAGTGATTGAGACGACCAGTCGAGAACCACCAGCTACCGATTTTCGCGACGAGTTTATAGCGACAGTTCGTGTTGCAGTGTTAGGCGTAGCGTTGTTCCTGACGATGGCCGGCAACATCGTTGTGCTCGTCCTAGTTCTTCAAAGCAAACCGAAATCGGCCCACCTCTCACGAATCTACTACTTCCTGCTGCACCTCTCGATTGCTGACATCCTCGTGGGTATATTTAACATCTCGCCTCAGCTCGTGTGGGATATCTATTTCAGGTTCCCGCTCGGCAATTTCGCTTGTAAGATTGTGAAATTTCTCCAAGTGTTTGTACTCTATCTGTCTACGTACGTGTTAGCTGGAATGGCTGTCGATCGATACCTCGCCATCAGATCTGGCATAAACAGGCCAATTGTTGTTGTCAGAACAATTCTAAGCGTTAGCTGGCTGGTAGCGGCTGTCTTAGCTTCACCACAACTGTACATATTTTCATTCCAGAAGCTGCCCAATGGGGCACACGACTGCTGGGCGACTTTCGAGCCGCCGATAACTAGCTTTCGTTACGTCCTATTCTTCATAACAGCAGTTCTTTTCATTCCTGTGACGCTGATGGCTTTGTGCTATACATATCTCTCTTGGATCATCTCAAAACGATCATTGAGTCACACAAAGCTGAACCCGATACGGATGACAATGGTTATGGTGATTGTCTTCGTACTCTGTTGGACACCCTTCTGCTGTGCCCAACTCTATCTCGAATCGACCGGCCAGGTTCCCTCCATATTCATCACACTATTTCTGCTTGTGCCTAATCTCAATTCATGCGCGAACCCATGGGTGTGTTTGACATTCAGCACTACTCTGCGTCGAAAACTCACCGACGCGCTGTCATTTTTCGGCTTCTGTGAACATCTATCAGTTTACCGTTCAAAAAATGCCATTACAATATCTATCCTTCAGTACCGACCACCGAATCGCTCGAAAAGGCAGCCCAGAGCGTATAGAGGTGCGTGACTAGAGACAAAACAGTAACCACGAGCAAGTAAAAAGGACACACGACTTTTCGCGACTGGATTGGAATATTTCATAACGCGTATATACACGCATTAATCGACGGCGGATAAGGACCAGTGTTTACGTTTACCCATGAGGATTTACCATTTCTACTTATCTCAACGCCCGACCCCCTCGGTGATTCTGACCATTATTATTGTTGTTACCGCGAAGTAGATAAAATAGAGCATTTTAAACAGAGTAAAAAAAAAAAAGGTCACAGAAAAAAAATACCGTTTTCTATATTTTGCTTTTTGTGGCACACAGGAAGCTGCTGGGCGTGAAACTATCAAACTGTAACATAAACGGAACGTGGGTAACATTATTAGGTTGTTTATTCGTACCGGCAAGATGGAGTTCTGCCTGATCATCGATTATTTCGTTGGTGTACTAAGTATGCACACTTATAGGAACATAAACTGGAAACTTACTTCATAGGCCTTCTATGAGTTTAACATTAATTTTGACTTTCTCTTTGAGAGCTATTCGAGATTAAACAGCTCCAGTTAAATATACATATGAAAAGCGTTTCATTTTTTCTACGACTAAATGTACAAAATTAGAGTTAGGAAACTCGGAATGTTTATGTTGACCAATAGAGTCACCAAATTTTTCCGAGAAGTATCCTTTATAGAGCCGCAAATATTGACTGCAGCTTGCGACTTGCGACGTTCACAAACTGAACCTGAGCGTGGACCACTGACAGAAAGAGCAGCGGAAGATCGCGGAGGGACTCCAAAATTGTACGCTACGCATATAACTGGAGCCATGACAAATGGAATACGAAGATAATAATAATAATTGCAATTGTTTAGGGTTCTTGTCGTGACTTTAGTCTTCCACGATGTCGAATATTTTTTATGGTATCGATAAAATAGCACCACTTTTTTTTTGAAATAACCAAGAACTCAATATGTAAAAATAACCTGCGACGAAATAGCCAGCCACCAACAAAAAAAAGAATCATCGCTACTCGAATTCAAAATCCATGCATGTATATATTAGTACCAGTAGCTTGCTCATTAGGTATCATTTCTAGTGCTCAAATAGGCTTTGTATTGTCAACCGGGTGATCGATTGAGAATTTGGATGCGAAATGTTTCCATATACAAACACAAACAAATTGAATCAATCATAAGCATTCAACGTGTTCTGACTGCCTGCACAATAACGACATAGATTGCCCGTAACATAGGGTCGTAAATGGTGATACGATGGTAAATGCGAACGCTTTCTACATATAATTAACAACTATGACGAGTGACTAGCTGTTTCGTCACATGAACGGCATTGTCTGTTAGGATCAGCTATTCGTCTTTATTTACACATATATAAATGTAAGTAAAAACGCACGGGTCCTCCTGTACCACGAACAAAACTTGTAGCATCAACTTATCTGATCCTTCTAGTACTTACGGGCAACAAGCGCGTCTGTACGAATCTATTCTGTTTCACATGGAACAGAATGATCGACTTATTCGTGATGTTGATGGTCGATATATGGCCAGGTACATATACCTGTCCTGTATTAACGTTCAAGATGTATGTATAGGTGTTTTTCTCGTACGGATACTGGCGTGTGTTCTACCAATATTATTGTCACTGACGATTTGCCTAGAATACTTTCAGTCGTCGGGTAACCTGCTAAACTAGGTAATCTTTTGCAGAAAGCAACGATGTAAAATGACATGCAAAGAATTTTTCAACCACGAGTGACTGTTTCATGTATTTAGTCCTTGCCTTAATTACGAATTACATTAATCATTGCTTCTCGTTGTCTAATTATTCAAAACCGTTGGCAGGTAAGCTAGGGACAGTCGGTAGCTTTGAATCACTTCGGCCCGCTACCTGCACAAGCTAAGCGCTGGCCATTGCGACATCCGTTCATTCCGACGTGCCAATCGCCTGAGTCCTGAGCTCCCATTGTCAAATGAACACCACCATTGCTTTTGTTAACATACCTCGGAATGGAAGAAACGATGTGTTTGGCGACCACAGTTCGCTCAAAGCATGTCTGTGCTGCAGCAAGAAGGATTCAATTTATGGCCTACTTGTTCGACACTAGCAGCGGCAATAGCGACAGCAGTCCTGCTATTGCCACAGATTGGAGCCTCAAATCGAACTGTGCGAGTGGGAAGTGAACGATGGGATACAGCGGCTCTTTTCACAGGAAACGCCACATTCGTGTTGGGTTTTGCCTGTCGAATTGGTCTTCCACCAAAACTGGACTTCCCCGTACCAAAAGACTATTGCCATGGTATTAACGGAACATGCGTTCGAGGCGTTTGCGTGTGCAGACGAGGCTACTATCGTTATTCAGACAACAGCTGCCAGCCAGGTGGGCTTTGCCCTTGAAAATTTATCTGTAAAAGTTAAATCGTCTTAGTATAGGCGATTGACTGTTACCATGCTAACTCATTCATCGTCAACAGTGTGTTATCCTGTCGAAGTTGATGTATATCAAGCAAAGCATTTGAAGCTACCGTTTTCAATAATATATCTGAAAGCCGCTTGCATCTCTTTTTCTCTCGATCGAATTTTCAGCTAAATCAGGTCTTTTACACATCGTATTATCCGTGCTATCGTGGTTGCCTATTACGTATCTTTTGTTAGTGTTGACCGCAGCTATGTACAACGCGTTTGTGCAAGGCGTGGCCATGATTATCGAGCGGGAGGTGGGTAACGCTGTCCTTGAAGCGGGCTCGAGCTCAATTACTTCAACAGTGCTGAACGACGCGGTAGTATCGAACGAACAATGATTAATTGATGTCAATATATGCATAGTAAATGATGTACCGTTCTATGATCCTATCCAGCCTCCTCCGTTTAGCTGTGAGCCTATGAACAAAATTGTCATAGGAATTTACATATCTACGACCTCTTTCATATGATTGTAATTCATTACATATCAGTCACATGAAAATTATAAGGATCATATACGTACTAATAATTAAGTGTTCAATCGTCAAGTGGCATCCAGACACCGGCGGAGCGAGGTCTACAAGCTGTACGAGTGGAGCAAATAGCCGAAGGTGTGGAGTATGATTGGGCATATGATAGTGCCTTAGACCAAGACGAGGATGAGGCCTAGATTAATTGAGCCAGCCATAAAACCAGGCAGTCGTCGACACCTGCAATCGCGGCATCCCTCAACCGAGAACTTCCCGTTTATGTAGATATATATATGTTTGTTTCTTGTTTTTTATCTAATCGAGCAACAAGCATAGAATCTGTTTACCGCTGTAAGTTATTTCTGAATAAACATATGTATTCAGTCTTTGTCTGTTGCTATTATTGTACCTCGATTCGACGTATGTAAACTGCGGTGCTTTTGTTACCTTCTTCGTAGCTTAGTTATCATCGTTCTTGTACTCTGTGAAATTAGGCCCAAGACCGATGAGAGACCTACGATCCAAATGATGAGCTGACATAATGAAATTGACCCTATCACAGAAGGTACAATTGTGTTGGAGTATTCATTCTCTTACGACATGGTATAGACGATCAAGGACGCTAACGTTCGCTAGCGACCAGTATTCTCGTTTATTGTTGCATGTTTAGGCTTGTAAATGAACAGTTATCTGTTATCGCTCACATAGGCTTTTCAAAATTCATATAACTCGATCAAGATCATACCTGCATTTCTTTCAGGCGGCCAAATCCTTTCGATCAGTGCAGCGTGCGAAGGCGGAGGAAACTACAGAATCGATGAGATTAACGTATTCCACGATATCCGCCCAGCACATAAGGGTTACAACATGTTTTGATGTGATTTCATTTGTATTGTTTAACGGGGCCAATGCAGTGAGCTTATTAACAGCTAATGCTGAGAAACGCACGAGTGTGATACGGCATAAACCTGTCGGATAATTGGAAAGCAGCGGCAAAAAACTAAAACGCTCAAATAAACAGTATCTTATACAGCTCTATGTCCCCTAAGGCAGGTAATATGAATTTTAGTATCAGCAGGACTTCTGAAAAAAAATAACTGGACAATACTCAGCGATATTGCCGACGCGCATGGTGCCTGTCGACGATCACCACAGCAAGGGTAGATTCTACATTGAGGCGTCTCGACCATTCTATGCTATATCAAACGGCAACAATGCTATCGCAAAAAACACTATTTGAACTAAATAGATATTAAATAAAGTAGACCTTATTCGTATCGGGTGATAGGTCTTTTTCATTTAACCTAGTACACAATTCAACGTCGGAGAAATTGTCGAGACCCCTATAGAGAGAAGCGGACAGGAAAGAATTTATTTTGATGAATTACCATTTTCATGTCAACGTTGCCATTATCGTTGGCCTATTGACTGTGCAGGTAGTGGATAGGACGATTTACACTCTCGTGCTTAAACTTCGCCGCACTTTACAGACGCGCAGATTTTCGAAGTTGCGCAAAATTTTTGACCTACTACGTTCGCGCTTCCGCAGTGTAGCGCGCTCTGACGGTCACGTCAGGAGACCGACAATCGACTTAAGCCAAACCATGTCTTCGGATTATGCAAAAGCCAAACCAGACAAATGGAGTGTGTACTCCAGTATGATGCTCACAATAATCGCGCTTCAGTTGTTGCTCCAATTTGTTGAGCTCAGAGATGTGAAATTTCCAAACGGCTGAAGAGCCGAACCGACTCGATGGGCACGTAGAGCTTTTGAAAATAGAAGCCAGACCCGCGGATTAAGCTTTGGTTGCTGAGGCAAACTATTCGCTAGGGCTAAGCTCACCACCCGACGATTTACCTTCTGACTATTGTCTGATCGTCAGTAGGACGCGTTTTCAAGATGTGCGTATCCAACAGCGAGGTTGTATACAAACGACTAGGGACAACTGTAAACCTGCTGTTTATCCAATTCTTTGTTTACTTATCTATTATCGATATGTATCCTGGCAATCAACTGCAGCTTTGCATGAGCTGAATGTGACAAATGATTGAATGGGGTCGTTGTTGACACGGTTGCGTTTGGCCTACGATGAAGCTATTCCCTTCTGTAGCATCTAACGCGACAACAACAAAGAATAATTGACATGGCCGAAAATTCGACACGATTAAGAGTACTCATGGTTTTGTATACAGTACGGCATGAGTCCTACCTATTCCACGCGTAATTACATTATGGAATAATACTACATTATATTACAAGTAAGTTGTTGCTACCTGCCTGTTGAAATGCATCGTTTTTTTTTTACACATTTTTAAAGCAATTTTTAGATTTTACTAACTTTCCATGCCTATAGAAACGCTTTATAGATGTCACTAAACGAAATTTTAAAAAAATCGCTAAAAATAACCGCCGAGTCGTTTTGTTTCTCTGGAATTTGGTACCGATGCGTCTAATTTTTCCATTATTACCTGCATGTATTCCATGTTACTCTTTTACTGGATGTATTCGCACCTATAGACGATCTTGCTCTACCGTGACCACGACCAGGCAACAATAAAATTGCAGCACTTGAGCACTTTTCACTTAAAACACAAACAAACACTTACCATAAGCAGGTACATTTTGGCCTGCTTCAGCATCGATAAATGCTGTACGTTAGCGTTCTTTAAATGTACTTCGATTTTGAAATATGAATATTGCTATTATGTATAATCGTGATAAGCATTTGTGTTTACTTCTTCGTAAGACGACCGTTAGGGAGTATGATATAAGGACAAGACCACGTAACCGTACGAATATGAGTCGGAGATCGTTTCGATCTCGTAAGTAAGAGTCTGTTGGTGTCCATCGAGCGCTAATACGTGTCTATGGTCAAATATTAAAAAAGAAAAAAACAAGATGGATACTCATACCCATTGACTATACAACGTAAGTATTTTGCAGCAAACTTGCTGAGGATATGTTTCCTTTTCTGTAGCGGCAGGCACCGTATTCTTATTGGTTAAAAATTATTGTTATTAGGTTGCACTGTCTATACACCTGTAGCACTCACCTGTAGCCTGTATAATAAAAATGATGTTTCCGAAAATTAGCTCGTTATTTTCTTTCACATGCCTATATACAGGTTAACATGAAAAAATTTGTGACAATTTCTATAATTTTTAAATTAAATTAAGAGGAACTTTTCACCTAAGAATTTATAAAGTAACAAGAAATATGCACCTTATTCTAATAGAAAGGGTATACAGTCAATAAAGATGGCACTGTGATTTCGCTTAATATATTTTATATTGATGTCTGTCTTAACTAATTTTTAGAGAATTTCCCCAACACTTCGTCTTCGAGAAGCTTTACCACTCAGCATTGATTCGTCAAGGTAGAAAATATTCTTTCTTCTAAACTCTTTTTTCTGCAGAAAAGCCTTTTGATTTTTGGGGTTCTTAAAGTTTTTAGAAGACTGAGTTCTACCTAAATTTTATGCTAGCGGCACGTAGCTTACAAGTTACTCAGTTTCAAAATCTACTAGGTCCGCTTATAACGGCCTAATATATTTCCCAAATTTGTTAGAAGTTGACTACAGTTGCTCACCATGACCCTCCTGGTATTTCTGTACGAACATTCTACGCTTCAATAACTGCTCTGCGATGACCCCCAGATCTGTAAATGCTTGCGTTCGACATACTAAATATTAATCAATTAACTTTCCATGTTATATTTCTATATAATTATTTTGAATTAGCGCCAAATTAATATAATTTCCCTTTGACTTGTTTAATGCCCAAACTGAAAGTAGGACGTTAAAGTCGAGCTATTGAGTGTACCTGCAACAGGAAAGAAATCTATGTTTTCCTTTTAGTACACAGACGTATAACTTTGCAAACAACTACTGATATGACTGTGCTTGCCTGGTCGAATGTACTGAATTCAATCAATATATATGTAGGTTCGAATTTTCCAGCTGCGGAAACTCCCCATTCGTATATTACTGACATATTCTAAAGGAGAGGTGACGCCTAACCGAAACGCCTAAGATTGTCGGATCTTTTGAATTGAGAAATACAACTATTCGCAAGCAGATTAACTTTTAGGTTTGCAGCACCGCAGGGCTGTTCCCATTTCAGTTGTTGTTGTTGGCTTGGTATTGCCAAACCCTTGTGCACATTTTTACTGACTGATCGCTTTTAACGCATTCATATCTAATAGTGTAGTCAGTTTTCTGTGACGGTTTATTCAACTTTTGAACATGGCAGTCGGTTCGTCCGGCGTCGTCTGCAAGCCGTCTGCTTTTGGCGTTAGTTAGTTAGTTAGTTAGTTTTACACAAAACAACGTACTTTCTTTTTACGATATACAAAGACCTCCTAGGCTGACGTAGGTAGAAGCTGCTTTTAACAAGATATAGGTATGGTTACTGTTCTGTGACATTACAAGCATTACATGTGCTTCGCGTCTGGGGTAATCTATGTTATTTTTTGATCAGATAATGCAATAGTGGTTAATTGGCACCACCTCGATGTTTCTTTCGCAGATGTATAGATCTGATCGTTTTTGCTAAGTCATACCATTCCAAACCCTATGTAATGTCAGTATGAGCCGACTGTCATCTTCGCAGTGGTTTTAAATAGCTTATTGAAAAATCTTTTTTTTTTTTGTAATGGGTAATTTCGTTCATTGTGGCGTAGATCTAAGTCAGAAGCTCGAAAAGATATAGCGGTTCTGCTTTTGTAGACAGCCTATCCTTCTGGAAATGAATCCCTTAGCGATGTATTTGCAATTACAGCAAAATGGTTGATAAATTTTTTGAAATCATAAATGGTCAACCAAAGCTGGCTTTTGACGTCGCCATAAGTATCAAAACACAGAATTTTAAAGTTTATCTAACCTAAAGAGCACTCATTTGAGCTCAGTTGAGCTAGCTGATGTATAATCTCACAAATAGTATAAAAGCAATGGCAATATATTTTATAAAATACTTCATCCGATCTAAATCTGGTCGATTATAAAAATGCTCGATGTAGCGCAAATTCGGAGCTATACATCGTGCAATATGTGTACAGATATCTCGACAATCAATAACAAATTACGCATCAATTGTATGATAAAGTGTATGCATGTAGAGGTAGCAATCAAGAATAAAAACGTGCTTGGTAAGCTTGATCAACGACAACATGTAAGATAAATAGGTACCCTTTTATGGCTTTGCACTTTTCTGCACAACAACAATATTCGAGCGTTTTTGCTGAATTTTCTGCTTGATCATGCCCACACCACCTATCTCCTTATAGAATCTCAGTCACTTGGCCCGATCCGGAGTCTGCTGTAGAGCTAAATGATACCCACCAGCGTTTTATACTCACTGAGTGCGCTGTACATCTTAGGTAACATCCTCTGATTTGTTTGGAAAATCCCGAATAAGCCATTATTATTCTTAAGGTAAGCAAAAATTACCGCTATCATTTTTCTTGTTGTCTACCAGGCCTCTATCTATGGCCGAGCTAAGATTATCAGCGATGTAATAGTTTTTGTTTAACTCATAAAAACCTACAGTTTTTGTTTCATTTCATTAGCTTCTATTTATAAATATTGTGTGATTATATGTTGATGGCCAGGCTATTGTTCGTTGAGTTGGCTTTAGTTTTAAACGAAAGTGTTGAGTATGAAGTATTATAAATCTTGAAGAAACTAACCATGGGGAAAAGGCAATCTTACAATACGGTTAGCTTCTATCAACTGGCGGCCTCAATATCACACCTGGAATCACGTTGACAATTTGATAAGTACCACAAAACAATCACTATTTCCCTATGGGCCTGCCGGAACGCCTCTACGTATAAAATCCGATACCTTCCTAAATTTCTAAACTGACTTTCCCTTTTAGTTAAGTACTATTCTCTTCCTAAAATAAAGTGAGATTATTTTTAGAGAAGCTGCTCCTTTAGCGCTGTTTCCAGTATAAATATGAGGGAAATCGTAGCACGAAAGGTCAAGGGTCATTTCTGAAAATTGTGTTTCGGTCTAATAGACAACCAGATGCATGTAAATGAAGAAAAAGTTCGAACATTTTATCTCTGTGAAGTTAATGTTATTCACTCAAAGATACTGGTATCAAGTTTTGTATTTTCGGTGAGGCCCGTTATTAACTTCAATATCTACGAACACAGTTGAGAATTGCTAATCTTAAATAGATACAGACTTAAGTCGATCTCGTAATTAAGCAAATGCGTTACTACAGCCAAATGGAAAAATAAAGGACAAAGCGCAATAGGAAAACGTATGGAATGCAAGGACCTTAGAAAGATAATGCAGTAAGATAACAATATGATTGCAACGCGACAGACATTTACTTGAATAGCGTCGTATTATACTTTCGCTTAGTTACAACTATATATATATATATATATCTACAGCCGATCTCAGACACCTCTTAGCTTAAAACTCTTGCAGTTTTATTGCTTTACCTATGTGAACAATTCGGCAAATGCGGCTAACATTAACCGGCTTTAGCCGCCCTTCTCATAGATCTTCTTCTTCTTCTTCTTCTGCTTTTTTAGCAGATTTTCGCACAAAAGCTTCTGCTGTGAAGTTGCCGAAGGTTACTATTGTCACCGTCTTTGTTACTATTGGCTATTGGATTGTTGTTTCATTTCAATATACCGCATGATTGCACTATCGACACACGTTTCTTTTTGGCTATTTTTCCTTCCCATCACCCCCTTTGCGAATCCTCGTTTACTTGTGATAATCGTCGTCTTACTATCGCTTTTTTCTCGATGCGTTTTCCGACCAAGTTCAATTTTGCTGACGCACAACCACTGCAACTAATCCTGTTTAGGTTACTGGTACTTCTGGCAGGCTAAAAAAAACCTGTAGATTGTGCTGACGGATGCTGAGTAAATTGATCGAACCGACGGCTTCACTCTGCTGAATGCGAGAAGGAGCAGCTAATGCAGATGTTCCCGATATTCAATATCGTCTTACTGGGGTGTCAGTACGGATTCCACGGCTAGCGGCCCAATAGCCGCTGTTGCCGATGGGGGGCGCGAGAAAAGTAATGATAATTTCAAGCGCTACATCGAGAGCTGATTGCTTCGTCTGCTATCGCCTTTATCAATGGGGTCTGCCTGAATTACGGGCAGATTTGTTTCTCTGCTATCATCCACTTGCTATAACTGGGGCGACGGCTACCGGTTAGTTCCGATTTGAGTGTTGCTTAATCGTTGGCAGTATATCATAAATAAATATTTTATGTACATGACGAGCCACGATTCGCAAGTCACAGGAAGCTGAGGCCCCTGTGCGACATAATCGAATCATACAAAAAATGATCCGCGCTACTAGCATTGCTCTTCCTGTCATTAGTAGCGTTTATCTGTTTAGTTCTGCCTATCAACCTATAGCAGAGTTAAGAACCTGTGCGACTAGAGACAGCCGGAACAACAGTAGATATTATAAGCCACGTTATAATAGCAGATGTTTGCCGTATTGGCCAACTGTAGTTTTAGTCTCGCCAACTGCGCCTGGCTTAGTCTTGTATTTCGACCATCAGTAAAACTATTGCCACTGTTATGTTTAGAATAAACGATCACTACCATAATGGCGGCACCGTTATTTGTTGACCAAAAAACGGACATCTTATGTAGAATAACTCTGCCATTACTAGATGGCGTACAGAAACCGACAATCGCGCGAGCAGTCGACAGAACTAGAACTAGCGCGCCTTGTACCGCACAAACACAAAAATACACCCAAACAAAGTGCTCCTGTCTGGAGCCATTTAGTGTAAAAATGTACACATGGTCGTGCATGCATATCTATGTATATGAGTGCAAACAGAACCAGTTTTGTCTTTTGGGGCTACAACCCAATAACGGAGAACTAAACAAACAATAACAACGACAATTGTTGAAGACGAGAAATACAGCACCATAGTACGATGTAGTACGCTTGAAATGGCACCTTACGAAACGGGTAGATCCGCGACAACTCACGAGAGCGAAGGCAGACAAGCCGGAAGGCCGCTTCCGAAGTGAAACGTATATCGTTCAAAAAGCAAGGAGAAGTAAAGTAACGTGCTTACCATTTCGCATGCCGCCTCACTTTTGGGCGAATATAAAACGTTTTCTGTGTATTTGCGTACGAACCCTCGGCAACGCCTTTCATCTCAGAGGGATATTTCTTGCTATCCAATAATTTATGAAATTTAGCGAGCTTCGATAGATAGGGAAACCTTTAATGACCAAAGCATTCTAGAAATACCTAAGCGTTGCCATCTTTGTAAAAGGATAGATCACAGTTTTCATTGAGCTGGTCTATCGAGCGAAATCTGAGAGTACACAACAAAATCTTTGAAGGTATGCATCTATTAGGAAGGTATACACATTTATCACGCAGTTATCTGAGAAATGATACGGGAAGAGAGCAATGAGATCGTTGATGCATGGAAAAGTAGCTGGTTTCAAAAAAACCTCGGTTTCCTTAAGAACGAAAAACGTATCTAGCTTATTGTCGATCGCCTGTCACTACGAAGACGAAACTAACGGTGAGTTGATTGATCGATCGATTGGGCGTTAGCGTATCCGCAGGCAAGTAGTACGTTTGGTCGGAACAACAGGCAAGACATACCTTACTGTGTTATCTGCGCAACGCGTAGCAAATGGATGACAAGTGGTGCACGTACATGAGCCCATAATGCAGCTACGTCCAACACATCCACCTACGAGCCCTTCTAGATATAATCAATTCTCGTAGTAGCGACAAATTTCAGCGACGCGTCGTGGTCTGGGTTCGAACCTGGCCGTAAACACACTTTGTTTTTTGCTGGGAGCCAGCCGTCTGATGGAATGCCTAACGACGATATCAGAGGTACAACTCGAATCATAGAGGTCTAAAGTTTGAAAGCATGCGCCGTTCTTCAGCCAATTAGCAGGTTTCTTATAATGCGTGGTATTGAGTACGATGTCTAGTGTGCACAAAACTAAAGGAGCCTTATCAGATAAACGCTCTGTGCGTAGTCCTAGGGGGCAAAAAAGACTCGTTCGAAGCGATGGTTAGCAGCAGCAGCAGCATCGCAAGTAGAACATGGAACATTTGTTTATCGAACCAATAAGTATAAAACGTGGAGTAGACAATAGATTGCTTTGGAGATCTACTACACAAATTGGCTCTACTAACGATATGATGACAACTAACATTAATTGAAAACATTTTGTACACGCTTATTTGCGGAATCAAAATGTAGCTGTAGAACGCGGTTGTGTTAGACTAAAATGATCCTTGTTATTTTCAATTAGCTATTTTTCAATAACGGTGTTCCGGATGTTTATACACACGGGGACTGAGAAGAGCTACGATCAACATACGCAACTCGAGCATGTTCATCATCGATTTAGTTCCAAGGGTCAATTGGCTCTCGTAAGTACATTTGCTATACGTAATTTATCCTTATATTCGCCCTTGACGTTTAGTAATAGCTTTCCAATCATCTTTCCATATATAACAAGGATAAGAGTACTTCGCAACGTATTCCTGAGGTAAGCATTCTCCCATCGTCATTTTAGCTCTAAGGGCTCGTTTGAAAATGGGCGTTGTGCAGAGAATATAGTCAGTCGTTCCATAACTCATTATCACATCAGACAGGTCATTTTACAGCGGCCACAATATAGAACTCCTGTTTGTGTATTCGTGACTACTTTTATCTACGATCTTCGTCATTGGCAAACATGAAAAGATCCAGAAGTCTCAAGGTTTATTTGAAAGATTACAAATGGCTACTTATTATTTCAATAACGCAAAAATCATGCAAAATTTTGAATCATCGTATATAGAATTTTATTATGTTGAAATGGAACTATCATTCTTATGATAAGCATAGCTGCCTACCTACACACCAGTATTATACTGCAATCTAATCAAAGGTATTTTTTTTTGTCACTTATACCACTGTCAGTCTGCTTCCTGTATTTTATCTTTTACCCTCGCTAGCTAATTGCTGGCGAATTTAGTAACATTCAAATCATTATCGCATGGGTCTTGACTGGGTATAAACCGGGTGCGGCAGCGCAGACCTCTCTGCAAGAGTTACTCTATCCGTATAGTATTGGCATGTTGGTAGAAGCATGATTATAGTGAGGTCTTATCTGAGAACCTTTGTCTTGGACAGTACATTGTCAGACAAAAGAACGCAGATTAGGTTGACACCTTTACTAAAGGGCGACATTATTTATAGATGGGTAGAGGAATAATAATAAACGTAATGATGATCACGATAACGGAAACGTGTCACTAAATAAGTTTATTATATCGACTATTTTGTTGTTGCTTACTCTAAATAGTCTGATAGCATCTGCACATAACTAGTATTACTGTATCTGGCACTTTCCAAATAAAGCTATACGTATATTTATTTCGGGAAGGCCGTTATTGATTTTTGGTATTAGGCATTCGTGTTTCCATATAAAAACGCGTAGGTTCCCCCTTACGATGGCCTAAAACTAATGATAAATCCTATGATATATAATTAAAACATGTAATAGCAGCTTGGGTAGGGCGCTAGATTGGTGTGCATATGGTCATACGTTCTGTATATGTATGGGTTCAACATGTCATCTAATACTTTGGTTCTCAGTATAAGGTCACCGGATCTGTTTATCAATTGTGAATATTATTGATCCTTGTTTTCCGAAAATAGTCGAAATTTATCCCCATTTTGCTGCAGAGTTTTTCTGAAGTGTTAATATTGACAAAAAAAATAAAATAAAACTGTCCCATAAACGCAAATTTTTCGACAGTCGTACAGAACCTCTCTGCCACTGAAGTTGGCGCTGGCTATAATAAGGAGCCAGAAGTTACGATATTTACGCACTAGTGGCATAACTTAATGTTATATTGTTGTTATTATTCAGTTGTCTGGTTGTCATCCAGGATCTAAGATTCTGCTTTGGATTGCCGCTAGTCTACGCCTTCTCCTAGTGCCTTACTCAACGCGAGCAAAGGTTCGCTGAAGTAGACAATCAATTTCCCGCTACAAGTTATGTAAGGACAAGCGCCTTCATTGGTCTAGCGAGGGGAGTATTTTTGTTAGATGCCGAAAGAACTATGATAAACATCATGCACGCTGCTACTTCCTTGCGCCCTCGCGTAAGACCCCGACATGCTGATGCTAACGCTGACTCAGGTAGAAAGCCGTGAATTTCAATTTTGAACTTGCTACAACCTAGCGGTCATGCGACTACGTGACTATTATTAGTTTTATCATATATATACTTTTTTTGGTGTATTCTTATACATCAAAGATGAGTAAACTAAATAATATTCTACTATTCAGTATTTCGTGTACTTTGCTTAGATTAAAAAATTGTCAACCGCACCTAGAAAACATTTCTAACTTAGAATCATCATTACATTTTTTCCTTAGAGTTATCGGTCGTCGTTGTTAAGATCAACTCTCACAGTGTGCCTTGTCAGTTCAGCAGAAGTCAACTATAACCTTCCCTACGTATCTATCTGGGTTACCTTGTAGTCGTTGTATAAAATGGGATTTATTAGGCAAACAGCAGCTGACGCTTCATTGATGAGTACAGGTATCAATAGAATACACGGCTCATTGATACAAACAAAACGGTTGATGATGGCGTCAACGAAAGTAACTCTACAGAAGATTATTAATAATATCTTATGGCAGACCAGAATTATGTTACCGTCCCCAAAGCGTCGTTTGGAAGAATCCTCTAGAAGGTTGCATCAACAGTGACTAAAGTAGCGGTCGTCGAACGGTGTCATATTGATATCAGGTCTCAATTAGCGAAGTTCGATAATCAAACAAGTAACGATCGAAATGTCTAATCTGGGATATAAATTGTAAAAAAGTTCCAACAATGTATGCATGTATAAGTGTATATTCTACATTGCCCAAGCTAGCCTGTAACGATCAACTCACATCTGTACTCACTTCGCTACTAGTCGTATTTATGAGAAGCAACGCATCCTTACTTTTTGTCCTCCTTCTTGATTTCGCCTCGTATAATATCAAAACATTGTGAAACCAAGAGGCAGATTAAATGCTGCGATAAAAACAAAGTAAAAATACGTTGTCATTCGGATTTTGACACTGTCGTCGCCGCCGCTAGAAGAATCGCACTAAACGCGCGGGTTTATTTTATCTTAGGCACAGGCAAGTGCGTAAATGTAGCGCCTTAAATACTATCCCAGATGACGGCAGGACCGTTTTCAACTGGTTACGTCTTTCATTGACACTGCAGTTACTGATGCTGATCTGGTTCTACCGCGTATCATGCGTACGGGAAAGGAAGGTCTGATTATTTCGGATATGACGCCGCTACCTCATCCTAGGAACACGTACTCACAGCACTTTTTATAAAAAAGAGCGCAGCAGCAACAATAGTAGCTTTGATTTCCCTCCACCAGATAACGGATTATGTTATATACATGTATATACACTCGGGGGCACAGTTAGCTCTGTAAAGTTAGGAGAAGTAGAAAAAGATGAAAAACATCGAGTGGCGCGGGCAGCTGTTAGCCTGTCTGTCGCTTCCCTGCAGCTGCGGTTATGATGGAGCCTTCTTGCAGCAGTAACAACAGCAGCGGCAACGATAAGGACAATGACAGGACCAGTAGATATTTCGGTGCTACGAAGTCGCCCCGATAACCACTGAAAACAACACAACTGACACACAAGCAGGGTAACGACGGCGAAAAAAATACGCCCTTCCCGCCACATTTTCAGACAGGTACACTGAGGCACATAAAAATTACGCATGTAGTGACCAACCATCGATATCGTACAACAAACGGACGGAAATGAAAGGGCGCATAAGCGCTCATCAATCTAGTGATATGTGGCCAGTTATATGGCGATACACCGATGCTGGAACTAGTTGCCCCCTACCATCCACCCCCTATTATGGCTGCTGCTTCGATTATTACTTGCCTGTTTGCTTTCTACTATATATATTAGAATTGTATTATTTATTTTTGTTGTACCATCGCATACTATCACAAGGGTATGTATGAGTAAAGATCAAGCATTCTTTTTTCCTCTGGATGCCCAGATAAGCAGGTAAACATTTTATATTCGTCTGCTATAGTTGTACCCTTTATTGATATGTATGTACAGGATAAAGACGGCAGCGCCAAACGCAATGAACAATGTCCAATTACACCGCGACAGCAATAGCATAAATAGTAACCACCTACAGCTTTCGTTAATTCAATATTGCACATGATAGTCTACCCACTTTTGCGCCGAACATAAATGTAAATGAATAACTACCAAAGACGACCGTGGGACTCCGTAAGCCGGCACAATGCGTATTTAACGTTGCCCGTTTGTATATAGCAAACTATCTATATGAACGTACGTAAGAGACGCTGTGCAATTTCGAAGCGAACGAGCAAGATATTTACAATGAAATCATGAGTAAGAAAATTTAATTCGATGTATTGATCTATGCACGCTTACATCACATTTAAGTTTTCATGTCAGATTTTCTTGTCGTTTGCCAATACGTCAATGCTTATGAATAGTGTCCGCGCGCGAAGGGGAACATGGACGTTCATTGATTGAGTCTTGCGATTCAGCCCGCTCGTAGTCAACGTTAAACATAGGCGTATGCTCTGTGTGCCCATGCCCAAATGAACTAAGTAACGCCAAAAATCGAACGGCCCCTAATTTCAAAAGGTAAATGTCGTTTAATTCACAGTTCAAAGTTCACTATAATAAAGGGGTCGTTAGTGTGAGATAGTAATAGGATTTTACTGTGTATATGTGTGCTTATTTTATTGTAATTATCTTTTCTTTCTCCCTAATCGTTTCGTTATAGAAAAACCAAGCCTTACTAATTGTATATAATATCTGGATTGAAGTTAACTACTCAGATCTGGTACGCACTTAATATTCCGTGATAGTGCCGTCGTCCTGTTTTTGTGAGCTTGTAATTTAGGGCCGAAACCGGATACAAATACTTTTCATTCGTTTCGTCCTAGGAACTAGTTTTCTAGAGTAATGCTTAACGAGGCAATACTGAACACAAACGTGGCAACAGCGGGCAGGTGCCCATCAAATTCGGCCTTAAGGAGCTTGCAACGCGCCACAGTAGCACACAAATATACCTACGTAGAAAGAAACACGTCCTCTCCATACCTACTTGTTTAGCCTTAGGACGAAGCCAGCGCGAACCGCTGAGGGGAGATCATGGGTTATAAGATAGGTAGGCATCGGATTAGGTTGCTACATAAAGAACCAGTAAGTGAGTGGAAGGAATCTATTTAGAGGAAAATCTTTTCTAGGCATTGTTAGTGTAACCTTTATTCGATGCTTTTTGTCTCTTAAAAATGATCGTATTTCGTCTCGGAGTTTTATGGTCGTTAGCCTGCAAACCTCCTTATATCTTCCAGAGTAGCTCAGGTTCTGCCTGACCTAGTAACCTAAACTAACATCACTGCGAATAACAAAAAACCTTTTTACCGTCGTATCCCATTAAAATGTTTGTCGAGCAGCACAAACATTTCGCACATTTTAGTTCATTGATCAGCCTTAGGACGAGGAATGCCTGTCATGACGAAGGTCATGTTTAGAGACTCCGGACGAGTTGATTTATATCTGAACCAAAAACTATTATTATATAACAGTTTGGTCAGAAGCAATCCTCATAGCCAGAGAGATCCGTGAACGTTTTTGTTTCAAATAATCAATTACTTATTCAGCTTTCGTTATTTCAATTTGGAGAAAGTGAGAGCCCAAGTCCATGTGGTACCGCATGATGATGTTTTACATGAATATATACTTACCCGTTATGCTAGTGCCACTTCCAATAAAAGTATCTAACGTACATTGCCGCACAATCTAGACATACAAAGGTCTGCCTTACCTGAAAGATTACTAGAATGTTTCCTTCATATTCTGTAACTATATAAGTTGAGCATCTTTAAAAGGCTGGGGTGTTTCTATCACTAAATGCTGCGACAGCATTTTGGCCGTCGGTTGGTTTTTATGACATTGAGTATTGAATCACGTCTTGCTTCTAGCAACGTTCCCATAATAACACAACCGTTCTCTGGAACTTTTATTCAAAAGAACGTGATGCTGTGATACGCAGCGGTTGTCTAGTCGAATAGCTTTATATATACTACCGTCCATGAAACGAGTCCCTCTATTATAGAATCGTCTATTATGCCCATAATAAAGCAAGCGTACATACAAATCGTTCATGCCGATCTAGTAGATGGTGCTAAAGCTGAAGCTTGTTTAGTCGTTCGCAAACGAGCACGTGAATTCTGACCAAAATTTGTTAGGCGGAGTGGAGAATGAAATCGTATACGCCGATGTCTCGTGGCTACCCATACAATTGGCAGCCAACTCGAATCGCTCCTCGAAGCCTCGGAACTTTTGCTGTAGAGGGTAGAAGTGATACGCTAGACAGAAGTATACGAGACCGTTACACCGGAACCGTTAATCAAAGGCACTTTTGAGTTGAAGCCAGCAGTAGTGTTAGAAAGTTCGTGTTCTTTTGAGCCTTTTCTTAATTGTCCATGGGGAAAAAGGCCAGCTGTTCTAACAAGCATTTTGTTGTTAGCAGCTGCCAACGACACACTACAATATCAGGCTTACAAGCAGAACCTGAAATCTCTGTCAGTTTTTGAATGCTCACAATATTTGGGCCACAAAGAACGGCTTTGTTCGAAAAAGAGCAATGCATCGATGCTCACAGTATGTGCTCCGTACAGAAAAATAATTGATGCGATACCCCCAATGTTCGGGGAAACACTTCAAATGGAGACGGTTTTACCATAAAATCTTTTTTACTTCCTTCGCCAGCTAGACGAAGAATTGTTATATCATTGTTAAGCAAGCTGCAATCTCACCGGTTCCGTTACATCCACGGAATACGCTCATCAGATACCCTGTCACTTTTTCCTCGATAGGAAAAAATAGTTTTTAGAAAAAAACCGCAAAAACTTTCCTTTGGCAACACTCCATTATTGTTCATTGTCGTAATTATAGGCCTTTCTTGTATCTTCGACTGCTTAACTTTATAAAGCAGATGCTAAAAGTATTCGATGAAAAACTAGACCCGCTCAGAGCTATCGGACGAAATGCGAAGCCTCAATAAGACTAAGACAACACAGCTAGGTTGACGTCTTTCGATTTGGGCGCTTAACGTAAACCTTTTCATCAGCAAATTTTATGAACGATGATGAAGTTCGAAGACGTTGATTTCTGAATTACGGTAGTTTATCAGAAAAAGCAATTTCCTTCCAAGGAAGTGGTTTGTAGATGTAGCCGTAAATGATACCTAATGTGTCCGTTGTTATGAGGCCCTCAGTTGTTCTGGTTGGCTTATCCAGTTATATATAAGCTTATATAAGGGTTTATATTGCGCGGTATGATAGGCATCACGTTACTTGCACCATGACACGCTGGATAGGGCTCAACCGATATTCGGGCCATCTTACTAATACGAGTAAAGAAAAATCGATGTAGAGCATGATCACCAGCTACGAGAGCAGTACGAGAGGCTTTATGCTGTAAGTGCAATACTTTGAAGTAAACCTTGGTAACTATGACAGACGAATAGAAACCTATTCATTTCTGCCTTGGATGCCCTTGATGTAAGCGGTCAGTTAATTAGAATTAGTGATTTAGTGCAGCATCTGGGCAATGTAAGGAAAAAATAAGCGTTTTACGACAAAAGAGTATCAACTGCTTAGATGCTAATGCACTGAACCATATTTCATGAAGGCCATTTTCACTTAAATGGCTACGTCAATATATAGAATAATAGTCACATTTGGAGCTGAGAGAATCCACTCTGATGAAAAGGCGTTACGTTATATACACCCGAGGTATTGAAGGTTGGTTAGATAGATGACCGTTATAAGCTTTGTAGGTTACTTGAACAAGACCGTGCATCACGCATAACGTAGGAGGGCTCAGCGTCAAAATAAACTCGAACCAAATTCAGCTCTGTCTTAATTGTAGATAAATATATATTTGTTGGGGGTTGTATTATAGTACTGTCTATCTAGTAGAATCTAGAAACTTAGGTGTTTGTTAAACATAAACTTGGCACGCAGAGTGTGGCATTGTTCAATGAAAAGAATCTACTTAAGGCAGGTTTTTACCGTTTGATTCTGCCAAATGACCGGTTTTTAAGGAAGCAACTCTGAATAGTTTTCAAACAAAGAGTATTTTCACAGCGTTCGTGTATCTCTCCGCGAGGTGGCTTATGTACATTAAAAAATACTGAGTTTAAATAGAATATTTTTTGCGTTGGCGAATTGCATTATACTTTTATCCTTCATACTATCATATCCTTGCTATATAAAAGTTTGCTAACTAAGTGTTACTAACGAGACTAGGTGTTAACGTTAAGCAGATACAATTAGGAAAGAATTAAATTTAGCTAGACATATCGTATTTAGCAGCATGACGAGGCACAGGAAAATATGACCGACGCGTAAATCGCCTGGCTGTCAGATTGCAGGCTCTAAAGGAGATACAGTCGCCTGCGGTTTTCGATAAGGATAATTGTCAATGACAAAACGATTTCTACTCGTAGAGATTATTCGAATTAATATGACCATTGCACGGGCGCAAGATGGCCAGCGATTTTCTGTTACCCGTTGATACAGGATGAGTCTCTAGCTTTCCAAGCGATTTCCGAGTGCTGTCGAAGCAATCTTCCCTCGCACATCGCTCTAAGAAAGACGTGTTCCGAATAAGCGATGATCCCGTGCTGCGAGGCTAGATCTTGCCTCGCATTCAACCTCAGCTTGTCTCTGACGTGCGCTGCCGAGGGGTATTAGAGGGGATGACGTTTGAAGCACTCTTCTGAAACGGTTTTTTAAATACATATATTGTTATGATCGCAATACATTTTGCACACAATATTCCCGTATGTATCTAGTTCCACTCCCTTTTTCTATTCAGCCCTTCTGTAGCCTGGGGCGGCCCTTCTGTTTGACTTACTTGCACGGCGACGCGGATGGATTATGTGCGCTGTATTATATCAAAATATACCAATCAGTTATCTAGCCATTCGTTTTACAAACGCCTTCTTGTGCATGGTTAGATATCTACAAAATGTTTTGACAGTCGTTTAATTATTTACACGATGATAAATTATACTGTTCCTAATGCTTCATCGTCTGGCGCAATCAGAATAGTATTACTGGGCTTAATATCCGTGTGCACATATGTCGTAGACGGCTATGCATTTGTGACACGTTACCTTTATCGATTCCTTTATATTTTGCAGTTTAGCCACCCGTATTGTGTCTGCTATTAAGGGCCGTTGGGGACGCCCCGAGGCCTTAATGGTTTTACCAGACTGGACTAGCTTTGTCTATTAGTGTTGTCCGAATAAACGAGGGGGAGTTGGCTAACAGTGCACGCAATGGTGGTGTTACAGCCAACGTCATAGACATAACATAATAGTTATTGCAGCAGAATGATATAAGCACACCTAACGAATGCTAGTTATTTATCAGTATTGCTGGTCTACTCGAATGTGCCAAAGACAGCTTCTTCGCAGAATCGTATGTATTGTATATAAAAATATATTATATTATAAAAATATGAACTAATGCGTGTGTACCAGCCTTAAACGCCAAAGTTAATATTAACTTGAAACTGCCTGAGAAACGCATTTGTTCATTCGGTTAAATA